CAAAAAAATCATATTTTCCTTGACAGTGTTGAGATTTTATCATATAAAAAGCTTTTATATTAGCGTAATTTGCATGACTTCCTACAAAGTAAGAACATAATGGAAAGCCATTGCAAATGTTTACATCATTGGCCAAATTTCTAGCCTATACAGACATGGGTTGCCATGGTGCATAAAGAGAATCCCAGATGAAATAGAAGCGCAGAAACTCATCCCTTTCAAGGCATAGTTAGGCTGCAGCATGAACCAGATTGTTTTCCAGAATAAAAGGAATAAATTTTGACAGTTGTTTTTTTTTAAATCCAAAATAGTAGAGACAATGTGCTTTTCATAGATCATAACTACATACAGAAAGTTCAATGAAAAATAGACTAAACGTATACTTAAAATCCAGAATGAATACTGTAATCAGATTTACTGATAGAAGAGACTATTTGTAGCTCAAGATTGAACTGTGAGGTCCTTAGTGCTCTCTGAGCTTGGTTCTTTTCTTGCAGACATTTTATTACCAAACTAGATAACATCATCAGTACTGCAAGGAGTGGAGTTTGCTCTCATTTTATAAGCTAGTGTTTGCCCTGTCAGTGTTGGTAGGAATTGGTAAAGATTAACAGCATCTACACACCACTCAAGAGAGACAGTCAAAATCCAAAAAGGAAACAAAAAGACCAAAACACCTTCTCATTAGGAATCAACACCTAGATTAGCAGAGAGTAACACTAAAATTAACACTAGTGCAACACTCAAGAAGTAAACAGTAACCCCATCAAGGAGCCACCAATATAGACAAGCTAAGAACCACCACGCTCACTCCCAGCAACCCCAATGGGTGAGGCCCTATTATATAAAATGAGAGAAAACCCCACTTCCTTCTACTTAATCAGATTTCTGCAGCTTAGTGGGATCATAACCTAGAATTTTAGCTATCATGATTATTGCTAATTAGGATTTCTGGAACTTTTATTTCAAACACAGCAAGGAGATATGATGGAATATATTGTAATATACTATACTTACATGTCAGAAGCACCAAAGTGCTTAATGGTGATGTCAGCCGGTGATGTCATCATTGCCCAGGGGACGCCCTGTTGTAATATAATGTAAGCTGATGAAAACCAAGTTACAATAATTTTGGATGTGTATGCTTATTGCATCCCTATTGCATTCCATATGTCTATTCAGAAGAAATTTAATTGAAGTAATATGAGTTGCTTGGTTAAAGGGTGCATGAAAGTAAAAATTAACAGAACACCTTGATAACAGAAATATTGTTGGGTCTCCTTACATATTTGAAATTACTTTCAATAATGGTCAACTCTAGAGGACTGTGAAGCCTATTCCAAAACCATTATTTTTCTTTCTTGTAATTATTACATGGTTGAATTGGAGGCATGTTTGTTTCAGGTCATTGACTACAATTCCATCAGGATGCTTACATTTTTGCAAACAACTGAAAATATACTTAGAATTGTAGTTTGTTTTTATACATAAAACTATGTACAACAAATAACCTTTGCTCTGAACAGGAAAGTTTTTTTTTTTTGAGGGGGGGAAAGGGGGCTTGGATCCCTAGCTGGAGTCTGCATCAAGCCTGGCTGTTGACAAGTTTTATTTGCATTATTAAAGGGCTTAAGGAATAAATTGTGTGCCACTTAAAACAAAGGAACCCTCAGTTTTGAAAAAAATGACTCAATTGTTATATGATTATGAGGTTCGAGGGAGTGCAATGAAGCATCCCCTCAAAAAAAAGAGACATGCATTAACAGACTTTTTAATAGCCATGGTATAGTGTCTTAACAGGATAAAATCACATTATAAAACATTATCTAATCTTGATTTAAATTATGCTATTTATCTAGTTTTATAAAATCTGATTTTGTTGTGTTGCTTATCTTTAAGATTCACGGAGAGTCCAGACTTTTCTTAGGCACTTTTTGTCTACATGTGTGTGTATAATTTCTGACTGATGTTTTGTCTCCTACAGGATCAATATTGCTACAGCAAAAAGATTCTAAAGGAAAGTTACCACTTGATTACATAAAATGTCCAGCAACTAAGCAACGTCTTTTGAATATTGTGAAGCCAGAACAGACAGTTGAGGAATTTCATGCTCAAGTACAAAGTAACTTCTATAATCAACGCAAAGAATTATGGATAAACTTATTTTGCAAGATGTTGTTAAATCTTTGTTCTGTATATGACTTATTTAGACCTTTTCCTATTACCTTTAAAAAGCTTGGTTTCTCAGATCCATTCCTGGTGACAGATGACTGTTATAAGCTTGATATGAACTCTTCTAATCATTGGTTAATAGATCTATATTTTAAAGAGCTTGAAACGTTTCAGAAACTTCCAGAATATCTTCAGAAAACTATTGAGGATCTTAAAAATGACCCAGAAGAACAGAAACAAGCTTTTTTCACAATGTTACAGCAAATTATAATTACAATTCAGATGTCTGGTTCATGTTTAACTAACAAACTTCAAAGTTAGTGTGACTTGCCTAAAATACATAAACTGTAATATTCAGTGGCAATTTTTGCTTGGATAAGTGAAACACATAAACAGTTGTGTTTTTTCCCAACACGTGAAAGGTTGAAGACTGGCTTAGTTGTTAGCCATATTAGAGAACCCTAATATGCAAACTATTATGATCATCCACTTTAATGTCCACTTTCTTTTGTGGAATAGTTGAAGAGATTTCTAGTTTTACCCTAACTATATAGTTCTCAATGATTCATCAGTTCAGGAAGCTTTACACTAGCTTTACAACATGCCAGGATTAAACAATTTAGTGTGATTCTTACTTTTTGATAAGCACAGCTATGAACAAACCAGTTTTTTACAAATTTTTAATTTCTTGAATGGATTGATAAAATGTTAGTGTGAGGCCCAATGTGGTTCATTCACGTAACAAACAAATGACATTGTTACATTTGTGTGAATTTTGTTACAATGCACAAGTGGGTTCAAATAATTGTTCTGCATTAATTCAATTAATCTTCAAGTTATTATATAATGATGGTTTGATGGGTACACTGATGGGTTTTCAGAATACAGGTCTGTAAGTTTGAACATTTTTTGGTGATAATGTGTATGTGAAATTTCCAAAAGATATATATGTCTTTATATTGTTGTTTATACTGAAATAAACAAGTCATTTTTTATGTAATAGTTTGCATATACTTTTTTAGAAAAATAAATGTTCCAAACTCTTTTAAACATATGTACTTCATTTTTAAACGTATTGCCTTGAATATCTGCATTTCTGCAACTGTAATTGCTGCCAAGTGGTACTAAGCGGTAATTATTTTGTGTTCAAATGAGGAAGTACATTGAATGAAATGTCTTTCATTTGAAAAGGGGTGATATAGGAAAGTAAGATCACATCTCTGCTGCTAAGAGATATCAAAGAGCATGAGTATTTTTTTTCAATAAGTCTCTCTCTCTTCTGTCTCTGAAAGGGACAAAGGAGAACTTTCAAAGTTATGAGCCCCACAGAAAGACTGTTCTCACATACTTTTTTATAGTAACTAAAACCCCATCCTGCTTCACCCTTAAACGAAAGCACAAACTTGCTGGGCCTTAACACATTCTTCTTGTTCCTCCTAGCCTCTACACAGATCTCAAGGTACAAAGAAATCTCACCTTCCTGCCAAGATTACCTTATCAGACAAAGCAGCATATCCATGAAAATCTTCCTCAAAACTTAATGGGATTCAGATTTTGCAATGAAGTTTATCTGTACTTTTTTTTTTCTTTTAAACCATCTCCAGGCAGTTTTTATGGATGAATTTATCCAAACTTTTTTTTCAATTTTATTTCAAAGTAGGGCATAAAGCTGAGATGGAATTATTTGTGTGGATTGATAATGCTGGTATTGGGTTGTTCTCTTTGCTCTCTCAGGGACCTTCTATATCATTGATTGTTATATTTTTCTGGACCAATTGTGGGGACTAAGTGGGAGAGGTAGCACATCAGATGTCAAGGCCTCAGAAGTCTTAACCCCATCTTGATTAAGATCTAAATCAGTAGTGGGTTTCAATTTCGGCTGCTACTGGTTCACTCATGCACAGACGTCTGGGTGGGTGGGCGGAGCCTCCCACCCCCGCCGCTACCGCTTTGCCCGATCTGGGGCGAACCAGTAGCAACCCACCACTGATCTACATGGAAGCAGCAGTGTGAGTTGTAATGGGCAGGTTTTGTTAATGCTCATGTAATGCCTCTTCTCTGATAATTTCACTGATGATTAATAGGTTTCTAAGTGCAATTCAAGGTACTGGTTTGTTACCTATAAAGTCCTATATAGCCTAGGGCCTGATTATCTGAAGAATGACTTGTCTCTGGTTTTTATCTGTCCTGCATGGTAACATTTGGCATGCTCCAAGTCCAATGAAACAATGTCATCGATTGGAAATAAGATTCTCTGCTGGAGCCCCTGCTGTCTAGAATAGTTTTCAATAATTTTGAAATGCCCGCTATCCTGTCTGCCGTTCAGTGAGCCTTAGAAACTTGGCTCTTCTCCAGCCTTTGGAGGTTGTCAGGCCCTTTTAGATTAGATGTATTATGGGGCAGAGGGTTTTTATTCTTAGCAACTTATTTTCTGATTGGCCTTTTTGGATTTCTAAACCACAGTGTCATTGTGGAATCATGTGGGCCTCAACATTTATTTTATTAATAAGTAGATAAATTTGTCTTGGCATTAGAGCCCTGGATGATCCATGAGCTTTGTTTCCATTGCACCTGCACAGAAATGGGGCAGTGATACTTTTCTGTATTAGGCAGAAATCCTCCATTGTGATGTGGGGCGAGGAAAGCCAGAAAATTGAGCTGTTTCATTATTATTTGCAAAATCTATCATTCCCCTCAATTGGATTCCAGTATTAGGATAGGTCATAGAAAAGTAACCTTGGTAACCATTTGGCAGGTCCATATGAATATTCTTCAACTTGCATCTCAGAAAGATGAAGACAGAAGACAGATACAAGGACTTCGCTCGATCCTTGCCCTTTCTGGCTGATTAAATCAGTCAGGTGAGGTTGGATGATGATCAATATCTTCCTGTGCAGAGTGTTATGTCCTACAGAAGACCTTTACTGAAAAAGCTTTTCCTTCATCCAGAACATTATTCCAATTATAGGTCAGTTAAATATTCTGTTCTTGGATGAGTTTTTCAGTTGCAGTTGCATCTGGATGAAACATTTTCTGCAATCATATTAATTGGGGTTTCGTCTGAGACCTATTTGGTCATGCTGGGAAATTATACTTGGAAGCTTTTAGTAGCATCAGTCACTTTATCTGGGTCCTCTGGCAGAGTTAAGCATTGGAGGAATGGTTTTGTTTTGCTTTTGCTCTTTCCTGTTGGGATGATGCTGGGCATAATGGACTCATGTTGCTATAATCTATCTCTCGGCTCTCTAGTAACTATTTTTCTTCATTCATTCATCTATCCATCCATTCATTATTTCTAAAGCAACCCAAATCTTAGTAACCTTGAATGCCATTAATCTCAATAATGCCAGATGAGGGAGAACAAACTAAAACTAAAGGTGAAAATGCTGTTGATAAAGGGATTGGATCGGATGCTATTCAGCAGGTTCTGACAGGTTCTGGAGAACCGGTAGCAGAAATTTTGAGTAGTTCGGAGAACTGGCAACAACTACTTCTTGCTGGCCCCAGTGGGGTGGGAATGGAGATTTTGCAATATCCTTTCCCCAGGAGTGGGGAGGGAATGGGAATTTTGCAGTATCCTTCTGGGGTGGGGTGGGAATGGAGATTTTGCAGTATTCTTCCCCTGCCACGCCCACCAAGCCACACCACGCCCACCAAGCCACACCACGCCCACCAAGCCATGCCCACAGAACAGGTAGTAAAAAAAATTGAATTCCACCACTGGATTGGATTGAAATGAAACTTGATTTGGATGTGGTTAATTCTCGCAGAAAGAGCAGGATTGCCCTTTGGAAGTAATCTTGAACCTTAAGTTGTCACTGGATTCGTAGATGGCAGCAAGAACAATGAACCCTATTTCCGTAATTACAGAATTATGCAATATACCAACTGTAGCCTTCCTGAGCTGCTTAGACTTAGCAACAGTTATCTTGATCTATTTTGGTGCTTTTTCTCTTTAAGAAAGTGCATTTAACTCCCACTTTTCCAATATTCAGGAAGTTGGGGAACAAACAGACACAAACTCTTTGCCAAGCTTTCAATGAATTTTAATTGTTTCATTTTATACATTTTATGGTACAAAAATGTAAGCCTCTTGAGTGTTGGAATAAACATAAAGTTGGGATATAAATTTATTAATTACATAAAAATGAAATATAGTTATTCAGCTAATTGTGTTCTTACTCTACATTACCTAGAGCTTCTCCCACAATAAAAAAAAAACTAACAATACAAGTCAAAATAAAAACAGTACAAAAATAGTGGTTTTTTAATGGGGGAGATAAGTACCTTTGAGCAAGTGTTGATACTTTGTGCCTGCCTGCCAAGTTCATGCACTATTTTTCAGGAGTAATTTGCCACTGCCTTTTTCCTAGGACTGGGAAAGTGACTGGTCCAAGATTACCCAGCTGATTTCATGCCTAAGGCAGGACTAGAACTCATGGTCTCCTGGTTTGTAGCTTGGAGCCTTAAACATTACTCCAAAGTGGCCTTTACAGACTAGTTGCTAAAATATAAATGCACATTGTGTATTAATATTGTAATCAGGAGTATTACAGAAGAATCATAGATGGTATAATTTACAATCACATAGAATTTAAATACATAGCAAATAAATAGTAGAAAGTGAATTATCCCAGTTCAAAAAAGGCTTATGAAGGTTTATTAATACTGCTCAACTGAACTTCCCATTAGAGTTACAAACATGCTAGTTTCTCAATAGTTAAGATTTAATCATATTCTAAACTGAGTTTGGTTGAAAGTAGGATTCCTTCTCCCAACCCCCACCCCCAGCTTTAATGGCTATTCATTATTATGGCCATGTGCATTAATTAGCATTCCTTCCTTAATAACAATTTACATGCTCTGCTTTACTTATCATAAAATTAACTTTACAAACTCTTTTATGATACTTTTTATTAAAGTTTAAAAATACAAAGAAAATAAAAGCTAAGAAAAATATAACATGTAAAAAGAAAAAGGTGCTATAAAACTCTTGTCATTCAATCTTAATCATTAAGGTTTATCGGAAATAACATAAATGTTAATCTTAGTCAAATAAATCAATTTCACATTCTTTTACTTTTCACACGGTACATTATCATTTTCTCTAAAAATTAAAATTAAAAATCCCTTATTCCCATATCTTACATATAAACAAATCTTTAAAGCTCTGTCATTCAGTCCTCACTGAGAAAAGCCTATTAAGAGCTACTAGAAAACGATCATATATGTATTTAACCTTAATCAAATAGGCCAATTTTAAAAATCTTGATGTTTATCCCCTTTAAACAGTGTCTCAAAAATTGTTTTCATTTTGCCTTTTCTCAAAACTAATTTACAACACATCTCTTTTTTATAAGTTCAAGAGAAGAAAGTTGTCCAAGTAACTCTTATTATTTGTGTGTCCTATTAGTAAATCCAGTGTAAAATATTTTTTCTCTTGTAACTTGTTATTTTTAAATTCAAATCCAAAACAGTTTCAGTTGCATCCTCTTCTATCTCCTCTTTTAAACTCATTTTATAGTAGCAGACAATCTTTTTTGAATTATCAAAAAAGAAAAAGAAACCAAACCAAACCAAATCAAATCATGGTAATGTGACTGTAAGAACTTTAAAAAGTATTCTGAAATAAACAGCAAAAGGGAGATTATAATGTTGATTTTGAAAAGTTAAAAAATATATACATTATCAGAAAAAATACATAAGTTCTTAAAAATTAAAAATGTAATAAGACAGAGTATGTTTTTAAAACAATAAACAGTTACAATTGTATATATAATTATCTAATACAATGGTAGTAGATTATAGAAATTTGTTCCCAAATATTCTTGAATTTTGCCAAAATTAAAATACTTTATTCTATATTAGTGGGTCTTTTCTTTTTTAATTGTAATTAATTTCTGGTTGCTTCTAGTGTCCAGCCTTCAAAATCTTCTCATGTTTTTTCTTATCCCCAATACTTTTCAACAGGATTTTCTTATACTTCGATAAATCTTCAAACATTTTAACATGATTTTAAACAACCCATAGGAATAATTCTTATAATTTCAAAATCTTATTTCCAATCCATCTGGCCCCCTAGTCCATGTATAACTTTTCAAAATCAACATTATATTCTCCCGCTTGTTGTTTATTTCAGAATATTTTTTAAAGTTCTTAACTTACATGAAACTTCTTTCACTGAATATTGAATGAGAATCTCCCAGTACAATGAAACTTCTAATTCTGAAGGTTTTTTATAGTCAAAAAGCAGTTAACAAGCAAGTCCATGAATAAAGAAAGGAGGTGGGGGAATCCAATAAGTTTGAAGGCTCTAAACTGCAGCTTGGGCAAAACTGACTTTCCCTTAGCTCCGAGAGTTCTAAATCCTGCTGGAGACCACTGTTTTACAGTTTCCACACTGGGAGCCTCTGTACTGAGTGTTTATGGGCAATCCCAGCTCCTCCCCTTTATCCAGAGATGAAATTTGGCACTTTAATCTGTTTGCTGGCTTCTCATTTCACCACAGTTGTCAGCTGCTGAAAGCACAGCCATATTCGTTGCACAATTACTTTCCAGGAAGTCCAAGCCTTATTAACTTTTTATAAAGACATACTTTTGAATTATCTAAAATGTCCTCAAATTCCTTTGTTATATATTAAATGGTCATAGAAAAATGTGATGTATCAATTTGATGTGATCAACTAATTTTTAGTTCAAAACTTTTGAAAGAAGGCCTTTTCTTCGTATGGGATCTGATGGCTTTTAAATTGTTAACTATTTTTTTTAACTTAAATACCATGTAGACAATGCAATATGCATTCTCTATCAAACTATTATGAGTTTTGGAGCGTTCATGGAACATGAAGAATTACTTGTTCTCTTGTCTGTTTTCAGGTCAGCACAAAAAGAAAACCAATGACCACTCATTCAGCAATCATTTGAAGTTGTGCCAGCACTGAATGAAGAGACTTGTGATTGGTCCTAGAGGTTATGCCTGGCAGTCCCAGTACCATGATTTGGCCATTTGGTAACAGAACACAATTATGATGGTCATATTGTCTCACAGTCACTTGATCACTATTTGTGAGCTTAATTCCAGGCTTTCAACAAGCAAAGTCAATGGGGAAACTGGCAAGAAATTGTAACTCATGGTCATATGACATCACACAGAAGGGCTACATGGAATTTGCTTAATCACTACAATCAGACCTGCCATCATCAGTTGGTCACATGGCCATGTGATTATTTTTTATTTTTATCTGCTTTATTACACATCACTTAGTGATTGAATCCTAGTTCCAGTTACAGTCATTAACCAAGTACTACAAGTCCTGAGTCCACTTATGAAAGTTTTGCAATGGATATATTTAAGAAGAATTCAGACTTATCATTACATTAAGCTGAGTGGGGGGTTTTGTCTTGATAAATTTGTAAAAAGGCTTTTGACAGCATGGGTACCAATCTAAAACAAAAGAAAATCTAGAAAACAAGTATTTGAAAAATTTCTAATCAATTTTCTTTGAACAAGTTCTTACTCTTTCTAGAACAGGCTATGCCATGCTTTCTAAACTTATACTGAATAGATGTAAATGATATATAAATATAACCATGAGAACCGTCTCATCTAATGTTATTAATTTTTAATTGCATGCAAGCATTTTGCACCCTCTGCAAAATGTGAATCATCCCCTGCTGTTATGTGAAAAAATTTGATGTGTTACATCTTCTTCCCTCAAAATCAAGTTAAACTTTCTCTTGGGGCTGAAAGATTTTTACTTTTTCACTTGCTCAAAATATTCTAGAATATAGGTTAAAAACTTTATTAGATATGTGCTTTAAGGAGGTTAGGACTTTTTTTGCCTACAGTTAAAATTGAATGGCTAATCAAAAGTAGATGTGGACATGCTAAGAGGATCAATCAGGTTTGGAATAGTTCCTTCATCCTTCTGATATAGGTTTCTAATTTATTTATCAAATTTACTCTTTCATCATTTCTTGTTTAATCCATTGTTAAGCTTTTTTTCTATTTCCAGCTACAACATTAAAATTGATCATATACTTGTGACTGGCCTCTTAAATAGGCAATCTCTACAATGACCGAATTTTTAGTTTCTAGATAAATTCCCTCTTTGCATAATCAAGGAAGACAGATTCATCACCTTAAAACTATAAACATTCCTTGGCATAAAAACAAGAAAAAAGTCAAGGAAACAATTGGTCCATTGCTGGGAGAAAGTGGCAATAACGTGACAAGCAACAGAGAGAAAGCAAAACTACTTAACTCTTTTTTTGCATCTGTCTTTACACAAAGGGAAAAAACAGTCCAACATATTAAAAACAGCACCACAAAAAACAGATTAGGAACACAAGTTAAAATAGGGAAGAAAATGGTAAGTGAGCACCTGTCTACCCTAGATGAGTTCAAATCACCAGGAACGGATGGTTACAGCCCAAGGTTCTGAAGGAACTGGCAGACGAGATCTCAGAGCCACTGAACTATATCTTTCAAAGATCCTGGAGCACCAGGGAACTGCCAGAGGACTGGAAAAGAGCTGATGTAGTTCCCAACTTCAAAAAAAGGGGGGGGGGAAATAGATCCAGGACCTATCAGCCTGATCTCAATACCAGGGAAGATTCTGGAAAAGATAATCAAGCAATGAATCAGCGAACACCTAGAAGCAAACAAAGTAATAACCAAAAGCCAACCTGGGTTTGTCAAAAACAGATCATGCTAGACTAATCTTATTGCATTCTTTGACAAAGTGACAAAATTAGTGGACCAGAGGAATGCTGTCGATATAATTTACTGGAACTTTACCGATAAAGTAGATAAAAATAGAAATCCACTATAAAATAGAAAAATGTGGGTTAGACAGCATCACCACCAGATGGATTCATAACTGGCTGACCAACTGGACTCAACATGTAGTCCTCAATGGAACTGCATCTACATGGAAGGAAGTATGCAGTGGGGTACCCAAGGCTCTGTTTTAGGCCCAGTACTCTTCAACATCTTCATTAATGATTTGTACGAGGGGATAGATAGGGAACTCATCAAATTTGCAGATGACACCAAGCTATCAGAAATAGCCAACACTCCAGAAGATAGGCTCAAGATACAGAAGGATCTTGACAGACTTGAACATTGGGCACTATCTAACAAAATGAAATTCAATGGTGAAAAAAGTGAGGTTCTACATTTAGGCAAGAAAAACAAAATGTACATATACTGTATATGTGGTATCTCGCTCAATAGTAGTAACTGTGAGAGGGATCTCGGAGTCCTAGTGAACAACCATTTAGATATGAGCCAGCAGTGTGCAGCAGCTGCCAAAAAAGCCAACACAGTTCTGGGCTGCATAAACAGAGGGATAGAATCAAGATCATGTGAAGTGTTAATACTACTTTATAATGCCTTGTAAGGCCACACTTGGAATATTGCATTCAGTCTTGGTTGCCATGATGTAAAAAAGATGTTGAGACTCTAGAAAGAGTGCAGAGAAGAGCAACAAAGATGATTAGGGGACTGGAGGCTAAAACATATGAAGAACAGTTGCAGGAACTGGGTATGTCTAGTTTAATGAAAAGAAGGACTAGGGGAAACATGATAGCAGTGTTCCAATATCTCAGGGGCTGCCACAAAGAAGAGGGAGTCAAGCTATTCTCCAAAGTACCTGAGGGTAGGAAAAGAAGCAATGGGTGGAAACTAATCAAGGAGAGAAGCAACCTAGAACTAAGGAGAAATTTCTTGACAGTTAGAACAATTAATCAGTGGAACAACTTGCCTCCAGAAGTTGTGAAAGCTCCAACACTGAAAGTTTTAAAGAAGATACTGGATAATCATTTATCTGAAGTGGTGTAGGGTTTCCTGTCTAAACCCTACTAGAAGACCTCCAAGGTCTCTTCCAACTCTGTTATTCTTGCAACTATAATAGTACAGACTTTTGCAAGGAAAGAGACCAATAAACAAATATTCTTTAATTTTGAAGAATACTTTTCAAATCAAATCAAATCCCAACCACCCTTCTCTAGTTTTTGAAGACTGCATAGGTTATCACATACAACTACTCCTCACTTAGCAACAATAATTGGGATTTCTATTGCTAAGCAATATGGTCATAAGGCACAGTCACATGACCACACCACTGAACTATAGAAATTCTGGCACTTCCAGTTGCCATTGTTAACTAAATCCTGTGGGTCATTAAGAAAAGATGGCATGTGGTCACTATCTGACCTTCTGCTGGTTATTCCATTGACTGCTTTTAGGAAGCCAGCAAAGAAATTTGTAACCCACAATAATATGCCTGTGGGGATGCTGCATCAGTCCTAAGTACAAGGATCAATTGCAACTATCCATCATTCAGCACATTGTAAGCTCAAAATCACTGAACTATTGTTAAACAAGGACCATCTGTTGTCTATTAATTAAAATGTCATTGTGCTCTCAAAAGTTTTTTTAAAATCACAGGTGTATGTGAATTTTTCTATGCTAATCAATGGGAGACAAGAGCTTTGGATTTGAGAAGTTCACTTTGAATTTGGCCCCAAGCTGGCCAGACTTCTTCCTAAATTTTTCTACAATTGATGTTTTCCAGATGCCCAAATCAGGGTTTGAACTGAAGTCTTCCATCATAAAATCAGAACATTCTCTGTGTATTGTGCCAAGACACAGCTCTCCAAAAAAGCTGTAATACTAGGAAAGGTAGAAAGAAAGAGAAGAAGGTGACCAACAGCAAGGTTGATGGACTCAGTTACAATAGTGATGAGTATGCCCTTGGGAGACTTAAAAGAACAGGTTAGGGATTGATTGCCCACATAAAATCTGTTTATGTGGGAAACCTTTTAGTGAAGTGCTAGATGGCCCTGGCAGTGTGGAAACAGCATTGTGGTGGAGATTGCTGACCAGAAGGTGGACCTAGCTGACAAAATCTCTTCAGAGAAAGGAGAGATTGTGAGATCATCCAGATGTGTTCTGGACAGTTGCTCCTCGCAAAAAGACTGCAGGCTGAAGTTTTGTGGCTGAATGGTGAGCAAGTGCTTTTAATTTGCTTTTAAGTTTTATACAAATTGGGTGTTTTTAAATTCGTTTTTTGGGCCAAAATTATTTAATGTACTTTTAAATGGTTTTTAACTTTTGTATGATGTACTTTTATCTTGTGGCTGTTCACCGCCCTGAGTCCTTCGGGAGTAGGGCAGTATATAAATAAAATAAAATAAAATAAATAAAATAAGTGGCTTGGAGTTGAGAGATTCCAATTAAGTTCACAGTTATAATGTAGCTTATATGGATATATAGACATGAAGCTTGGTCACGCCTAATTTCATAATCACTTTTGATATTGTCTAGCCCACTTTTTAAATATTAAGAACTTTTCAAACAGCAAGTTTTATGACATTCACTGGGTGAATTTCCTTCAATCCTTAGGAAGAGAAGTGGAAAATAGGAGTAAGAGTGTTCTCAAGCAGCAACACAGGCGATTTACCAGGTTGAAATAGGAAGCTTGAATTGCTTGGTAAAAGGCTATGGTACCCAGAAGTGAAAATTAGGACTTTCTTTAGGTTGGTTATTTCTGTTCACACATTTCTTCATATACATAAAAGGGAGTTTGAGATTTAAAATGCAGTGTGGGAGATTGTGAAGCTGACTGCTTTATCCTTCCTTAAACAGGAGGGAAGATTTAGGAGGCAGTCCAATATCAGTTGTAATTGTTTTCAGGCTAAAATTATGACATGAGTCCCCAAACCCTGGCTGCGGCCCACAATTGGGCCATGGCTTATTTGCAACTGGGTCGCATGAGCAGTGGGCTGGTGCACATGCACGTGTGCACAGCTCGATTCTCGTGAGTGGCAGCCTGCGCACGCACATGCAGCTCAACTTATACAAGTCGAGTCATGCATGCATGCACACCAGTCCACTGTTCACATGACCCAGTTCCCCTCTCCCCACCCCAGCAGAGCCATCAAGCCCCAAAGGTTGGGGACTGCTGATCTAAGGATAAGCTGTTGCTAAAGAGCCAAGAATTGAAAATAACACTCATAGCACTGATCCCTTGCATTCCTATGAAGAAAATGGATGACAGACAGACAGGGAGAGACACACACTTATTCTAATGTAGTTTAAACTCATATTTAATTGCATGAATAAGTATTTTGTGCAGGAAATGTATGCCCACAAGGTAATAGATAATAATAAATGATGACATCACAGGGAAAAACCTTTCACATACTTTGCAACAAGTTTTTAAATTAGTATAATGTTCTAGAGTTATTTTCTATTCCCCAATATTCACATCAATAAAAGTTTTTGTTTTCATTAATTAAATATTGCCCATCAATAATAAGCAACCAGAAAATTCCTTTATACATATGCATATCAAAATTACTTGGCTATTCAAGAAACATGTTCAGGGTTAGCTTTCCCTGTAGTTTAGTATTCTATCAAGCAGACTGCATACTTAGGCAAGATCCATTTACAGATCTCTTAACCAACAAATACACAATCCAAAATCAGTTTTCATGAGACATGCTCAAGAATAGATAAAAAGGAATATATGTCTCCCTTTGTCACATTTTAATGTAAATATACGGGTTAATATCTTTCCATTGCAGTAGTGAAATAAAATCTGGGGAGTAACCCCAACTCAAGAGAAATATTGAATATTGAATACTTTTTTTCCCCCTGAGGTCACAAATTAATCTTCTTTACATCCCCTTGAAAGTTTTGTATAAAAATTATGTGGTAAGCTTTTTTAAAAAAGTATACTGGCTCAACTCAAGATTCCAATATGTCATTAAGTCTATATATCCAAAGCTATTTGTTATGTAATAACAATAGCTTAAACTTCCATATTGTCAATAATATAGAAAACGGTTTGCATATAATAGGCCACTAATTAATTAAAGAAAAAAAAAATCTGCCTGCAATGTGTTTCCATTGACTCCTATAAAAATTTAGAACAATGTAAACCTAAGGTATTACTAAGGTGCACAGAAGATGTTCATTACCTATCATCTGAAGCAATGTGTTTAAAACTGATTTTGCTTACAAAATATATGCAAGTTGTTCATGAGGCTAACAATTACAAATCAAGATTAAAGTTTTTATAAAAATTAGATATGGAATCAGTTATAAATCTGGCAGTAATTTTAGAGATAGGAATATTTTTTTCGAAACCTGGCGGTGGAATGATAAAAGTATCAAGAAATCCTTTAAATCTTTGGAGATCCATTAAAACATTTGCATGTTGCATGTAACTCATTTACTTCCAGCAAGCTCTGGTTAATTTAGAATATCTGGTTATTTGCAGCAATGATGGATAAAATAAATGAATTTGCTCTACTCTGCATGTCTACTAATATGTATAAAATGGAACTTTAAAGTGAACATCCTTTTTGGGTTAAAAAGATCAGTTATTTGGTTTCTTAATATTAATTAGCATGAATTAAATTACATTTAACACATCTTTATTCCTTTGTATGTGCCTGTCATGTACCATTCCACATTCATGCTATTGATGGCTTTTCTCATCCAGAAAGCTAAAGCATAAGCTAAATTTCAAATTTTCATTGTAGTTCTGTACAACGGAAAGAATATTTTTCCCTGCTAAATCTTTCTGTACAGTATTTACACATTTCTCATTAAGATTACCAAATTTTAAAAAGAATCACTACCCAAAAGAAAATAAACAAAAAATTAGAAAGAGAAGGAATTCTCCTCAGATGATGTGATGCCTTGTTCAGATGCTGATCTGTCCAGCACATGGAATTGACTAACTAAGGTTGTTTTTCTTCCTTTTACTTGGGCTGTGAGAAAGGTCTTGTTTCAGTTCTTGATAGTGCACCTGTTTAAACACAGAATTCAGACATCAATTTCAACTCAGCAAACCAAAGTGGTTTTTTTTAAAAAAAAAAAAAATACAACTACACCATGGGGCTAGAAATATTTAGGGAAGAAACCAATATTGTCCTGGCAAACTTTAACATGGGCACCGTTCCTAAAAAATCCTGGTAAATTTCAAGGGGAAGGAGGAAAACAAACAAACAAAAAACAAAACAAATAACACAATCAATATGTTGGAAAGGAGACCATAGCAATAAACATTTCAGTAAAGCCTTCTTCTACCCTACTTTCCATAAGGAATAACTTTTAAAAAGCCAAATGACAATTTTTTTTAAAAAGCCAGAATTTTTTTTAAAATGACATTTTTAAAGTTAGGACAATGTAGAGCCCTAGTACAAAGGTAAGCTACAATTATAACTGTACAATCAAGGAAGAAATAGGCACTCGTCAGTAGAAATATTCTTAGCATAGTATTCTTTGACGAATACAGGGCAGTTTTCAGGGAATGTAAATGCCTCCATCAAATGAGGACCTTTTAAAGTGCAAAGCATTGCCATCACAGCATTCTTGCATGACTTGCTTCATATTTCAGTGCACTTAGTGAAATGATTTGCTCTTTTACAGTGGTGTTTTCTGCTTTCATCAACTTAAATCCCTGAAGCTGTTGCTTCAAAGCACTCAAGCACTGCTTGTCTATTAACTCACAATTTAACTAGAAAATTAACCTTCAAAAAATAATATATCTTCAGGTTTAACATCAAAGGTGTATACAGACCAGTTGCACATCTGAAGGGACTCTGGAAAGAAAATCAAGTAGTTCGTTGTTATCAATCGCATATGGACTTCGGAGTTTCTTTGTAAATTTGTTGATGCCTGAACAAAGCAACAGTTCACATAGATCAGTATTGATGCTTTAATGTCATTGTAAAATTAATTGCATAGGACTGCTGGATTAGCTGTACACCCATTCTTGATTAGTGCTTCATACCTTTTTCCTTGGTAACAGGAACTCCTGGTTCTAAGGTAATCTCTATCAGCAAGAAAATAATTTTACTCGGCAGAAAGGCATAGATGAGTAATGCCAAATTGGGCTTTTGAATGCCAAAATGATAACAGCTAATGCAGACTCAATACATTCAAAACCATGAATGCCAATGTACCAATATGCCCGTTAATTTTTTTTTAAATACTGGCTCAATATTTGTATTTATAAAAAGTGCATGTTAAGAAAACGTGTATGAGAAAGAAGAGGACCAGCAATCTTATTCAATTTTATTGGTATAAGCTTCCATCTGATACATTTAGAGCATCACTGTGAATTTAGAAAAACAGGACACTCTCCATCCACTATCAGATATTCACTAAAGATAATATATCTCATAGATTTAAAGCTATTTGTTCTATGTTCTACAGAGAGTTCTGGAGGGGAAAGTCTCTACTTACCCCAGACAAGGACAATGTATCTCAGTGGAATGAAATACAGGATGACTGTGAACACACAGAGAGCAACAATGGCCAGCCAGCTTAAGAATGGAATAGTCCAGTTGAATATACTGAATGAAAAATTAATAGATCAGAAATACAATAGCTCACAGGAAAAAAAATTTAAAAAACCCAAAGCAACAGCAGGTAGAATATAGATCTTTAAATGGAACAAGATTAATCTTCAGTGAAAGAACCAACATGTTTATGAATACACATGAGTGTAGAATATGGCATGTGTTGGTGCTTTGGACCCAATCCCTAAAAAGCAATTTTGGAGCTAAAATTTGCTCTACACTCCATGAGAGCATATATTTACACTTTGTAGAAACTGAACTTCATGCAATTTTTTCTAATTTTTTCTCCAAAATTTTCCCCAATATTGTGCCGCTTGGCTTGGCTTGGCTTGGCTTGACTTGACTTGACTTGACTTGACTGGGCTTGAAAGGGAAGTATACAAATCCTTCCCATAGTATTGCTTGATTGATTGGTGCAATCAATGTTGGTGCGACCTGGGCACTTTTAATTAAATGTCATCTACTGACATCCTGGGTGCATATCTTCTCTGTAATAGTGCCAAGCCCTCTTGGAATGAGCGTCTCATCTAGATATGCATGGATCCTACTCTATGGTATTTCAAAAGGGCTTGAAGACCCAGCTCTCCTCCCAGCCTTTAGGATAGTGAATGAAGATCCCTTAGATTCTTTTTTTTGTTCCAAGTCCAATTTTTGTCATCTTTATTCCTTGTTTTGGTTTCTGAGTATATTCTGTTTTAATGTTTGTATTTGTGAGCATCTCACAGTCTTTGGGAATCAGGTGAGATACAAATTGAATAATAAATAAAAGAATAAAACATTTAAAAAGATGAAGTTTAAATGATTCTCTCTAAGATTATCTAGCCTACACTTTTTCTCATATTTGGTTATCAGGACAGGTTCTTAATAAAAGAAGGAATTACATCTCTCTACTATAATGTAGGTTTATATCTTCTTCTCTTTCTGTTCGACATTAGACATCATATTCTTTAGAATCCTGGTCCAAGTGATAGAACTTTAATGACAAAGTAAGGATGATGTGATTTTTATAGTAACATTTTTGTCCTTTGTCCAGAATACGTAACATTTTGTAATTGGAATGGGAATACATATACAGTATTATAGACATAATCTGAGAACAGCTAAGCACCATTTGTCGACACTTACTTCTTAATCCTTTCTCCAAGAGAAGCCACCTCATCAAGGATGTTCTGAACACTTATGCACACTTCCTGAATGGCATAGAGTTTATTCATAAATCCTTTCTTTTCACTGTCCTGAGGATTATAAGAAAGAGGATCAATCAACATTTACTGGTAAATTGATTATAGTTTTCCCCAGTAAAACATTAAAATAGCATATTTTAAAATGCACACATTAATAAATATTTTATTTTTCTCTGTTTTGAACTACAGTACTCTCCAAGTACAAATGAATACATAAGCCTGAAAAACAGGTGATGCTGTTCTATCAAATCTAATAATTATAATAGCATGTCTTTAATGTGACTATCAAAGCAGTGGCATCATTTTTCAAGCTTGAATACTTGAACAAGTAATAGAGAGGAGCTAAGGGTGTCCTTAAATCAGGCCTTAGGTACTTCCAAATCATTTTCAAAGTGTTTGCAGCTGTACAAAATATATTACCAGTAATAGTAAGTATAATTCAAATAAAATGACAAGGAGTATGAGAAAGTGTGTTCTGTACCAATGTCTTTATAATCCCTACTACTACTGAATATCTCATTAAAAATAGTCTTGCTTGCTTGTTCTAAGTAAAGGAGTTAATAATGGTAGTTAAGGTGTTAACAATATTGGTTGAAAAACAATCTGTTATAAATGTCTTAAGGACAGAGTCACAAAAAAGGATTAGTTATATAGCCAATTTGGTATAGTGGTTAAAATTACAGGGTAGAAATTAGTAGACTGTGAGTTTTAGTCCCACCTTAGACATGAAAAATCAGCTGGGTGACTTTGGGCCAGTAACTCTCTCTCAGCCCAACTCATCTCACAGGCTCATTGTTGTGGGGAAAATAGGAGGAAGGAGGAGTATCAGACACTGTATGTCGGCTGCCTTGAATTACAGGTAAAAATAATAAAGATGGGATTTAAAAAATCTTTTTTTAAAAAGTACAGCAATTCCTTTTTTCAATTATGATAAAACTCCATCTTACAGCACTTTTAAATACTGTAAGACATGCTGCTTTCCTATATAGTACAGGTGGTCCTCGAATAGTCCTAAGCAAGCTATCAGGTAGATCAGCAGTTACTGCCAGATGAAGGATGGAACAAGAGGGTCGCGAGAATGCAAGGTAGGCATGGGATGGCTCAGGGAGTGTCTGTGAGGGTTCCCAAGGATGATCAGCAAAGATCCGGAAGAGTGCATGAGGGTGCACATCAAGGCTTGGGGAGGATAAGAGAAAATGCAAGAGAGGCATAACAAAGGATGGGGAGGATGCACAAGTGACCAGTGTGGGTGAAGTGCAGAGGGGCTGGGGATGGGTACGCAGGTAAGGGAGACTTATTTGTAACTTTCTCTGCCAATTTGCCCATTACCTTTCTGAGGAAGCCACCAGGGAGGGTTATAAATAGCAATTGCATGAACACAGAGTGCTGCAACCAGTCATAAGTGCATGCCAGTGGGACAGCTTGAATTCTGAGGACAGGTTGTAACCACCATTTGTTCAGGACCATCATAACTTTGAACGGTCAATGAACAAATGGTTGTAAGTTGAGGACTGTCTGTATTGTTCTTTAAGAAAGTTTAACAAAAGTATCCTTAATAAATCCTAAAATATGGCTAACATACATATGACAATTATTTAAATAATTGCTAAGATTTTATCAGTGTTTATTTCAGAGGGGAAGGTATCATTCATAAATGCTACCTATTATTTTATAATAAAGTCAGGATTGTTCAAGCTATCATATGAGCTGCAAACATCTGGACAACTTCAAATTGTCTGCATTTTTCACAGCCTAGATACACAGTTGTAGTCCTAGGTATATACAGCATTCTATTTGAACTAGCTGTGTTGCTGCAACAGTATTCTTTTCAGTAAATAAGGATGGCCATGAAACTATCATTCTGCTTAAGAATTACTAAAAAAAACAATAAACCAGCCTCAAGTCATAACTGCTTTCTGTTCTTACTTATAATTCTTCAATTTAGATTCCTAGATTGAAGCATATCTTGATTCATCATCAGTTCTTGTACGGAAAGAATGCTATCAGAATAACAAAACACATTCCCCTTTCTTCTATCTCTAGAGCTCAAGAGATTTTCTTTGGAAGATCCTGAAGCTATTTTTCTTTACAAATATTTTAACAAGATCAACTTGTACCTTCTTGAATACACATCTGTTCTACATTTTCTCTCTAAATGCAAAGGGCCACTATTCTCCTCAGACCTATTGCATTCTCCACTTTGGAGCGTAAAGAAAATTTGTTGACATATTCGAAAGCAGGCATAGACAAAACAGCACTGGAAAAAGGAGGCAGACAGAAGGATAAGGGTTCAGCTTTTCCTAAACTAATTCCACATGCCCCATGAAACATTAGCTGTTTTTTATTTCCTGTTCTAAAGATTCACAGAGAAAATATTCCAGGCTAGTGAAAAGCTGCACTTTTTTCCCAGCAAGGTGCTGTGTTAGCACAGAACATATGAGCCAGTTTCAGCAAACCGAAAGTCCCTAATATTCCATTGTCAAATATTTTTGGTATTTTCTCTCAAAACAAAGATGGACTATTACAGGAATCAATTTTTTCATCTGAATGGCTACAAGGGAAGAGATGGGGGGAGTTAGGCAATGGGGTAAGATGAAGCACATGCTATGATTATAAATGAAGGTGGGCTGCCAAGCAACCAAATTTGGATCATATGACTGTGGGGTGCTGCAACAAAGGATGGCCAGTTGTAACTATCATTCATTCAGCATGATTGGAACTTCTAACAAATGTCTGTTAAGTGAGGGCTACCTGTACTAAAAAAAAAGTTTTGTTTTTAATATATTGTAAAGGCTTTAAAAAGCATTTCACTATTTTCTTCCAAGAACCTGAAAAATAGTCAGGTCTGAATTGAAAATAATAGGTTATGCTGACTTTGTCAGATTCAGATTTAAATAACTATATGATATACAAATAAAAGTGTAATACAAGAGGGTTTTTCCTTGTAAAAGTATCACAATTAATAACAATTCTAAATTCCTAATAAACCCAAATTATTTTAAGCCATATGTATTCTTTGAGGTAAAAATAGAGGAACAATCTTAACATTTTCAATTGCCACAAAAATCTACTTACAAGGTATAAAAGTGCATTCTAATAATAAATAAGCTAATAGAGTGACTACAACTCTTCTGTTGTATTTTATCAGAATAGGACAATTCTTGCTGGCAAGTTAGATCATTAGGAGAAAATAAAATTCCAAATTTCATGAAAACATTCCAGAACCTTTTGAATTTTACACCTTAATAATCTCAGTTATTACTATATGCTTTTTACCAGAACTGTATGAAACATAAAAAACTTAATCCATTATAAAGAAATAAAACATGCCAAATTTCATAGAAATCAGTGAAGAATTTTCAAGTTAAGTAATCAAGGTAAGGTAACGGCTCTTTTAAAAGAAATCATCGAAGAAATTAATCTATAATTGGAAGTTCTTTGTGGACATTTTGCAAGAGACAGAGAAAAGTCAAATTTTGACATGGATTTGATGATTGTTAAAATTTAAAAAGAAAAAAAATTCTTTCCCCTTTCTTTTGGGGAGGGAGGGGAATGAACATTATATTATAGTCTTAAATTAAGAGTTGGATGTAAGAGTTAGATTATATTCTTGAAAGAAGTAGTCAGAGGTTATTCTTTGTATATATTTTTGTTTTCCTTTCTTTTTTTAATACCATTTACATTTCTGTCCTTATTCTCTTTTCACTCTTTGTTTTCTCTTGATTGTTAGTTTATGTTGCTTTTTTATGTGTTCATAATAAAATTATGAAGACAACAGGAAGCTTTTTTTAGAAAAGAAATGATGATTGGTAGAATTACGGTGAAATATCTTTTAATCAAAGCGAGCATAACCTCAAATCAAAAGCAGAACTGCAATCAAAAGGGCATATCTGTCATTGGCTCACATACATAAAACTGAAAGAAAGGTTTAATTTAGACAAGAAATATTATGGTTTGAAACTGTAAAATTTGAAATTGTATTGTGTGCCAATGATGAACATGTTATTGAAAAATGTTTTTAAAACTGAACTGGAAAATGAGTATGTGAAATACTGCATGATTCAATAGGCAAAGAATTTTGGATATAATGCTTGAGCAATGTGGACAAATGGTTTGACACTGAACTATAATATGAAAGAAAACTTTTACAAAATGATGCATCACTGGTACAAAATGCCTGACAAATTGTTAAAGATATATAAAGGTGTTTCAAATGTATGTTGGAAATGTAATTGTAAAGAAGAAACTTTTTATCCTCTTTGATAGACTTGTGAATAAAGCAAAGAAATACTGGGGCCAGATTATGTTTTAATCCAGAATATTCTTACAATGAACAAGAAGGTTTGTTTTTAAGATTACTGGATAAGGAATCCTTCGAAAAAAAGGATTTTTTTTTTACTGTATGCAGTCAAAGTTCTTTATGAGCAAAATGGAAAGATATATTAATCACCACTATGGAACAATGGATGGAAAAATAGATGGAGCTAGCAAAGATGGCATAATTAACTGTTTTACTCAGAGAAAAGAATGTATCTAGTTGTGTTTCTACTGGAAACTGCTTCTTCTGCTTCCAGCAAAAAAAAAAGAAAGAAAAAAGATAGAAATTTGACTGGGTTATGCTGATCAGAGTAGTGTGTTGTGATAGAAATGGCTAGTATTTAGTATATAAAAGTAAAATGTTGAGGCTGTAATTCTAATTTTGTACTTTGTTGCACTGAAAAAAGCTTTTTTCCCCTCTTCTCCTTTGTCCCACATTTCTTTTCCTCCTTTTCCCCTCCCTTATTTTTATTTTATATTATGATCATCTCAATAAAATTTACATTTAGAAAAAATACAAACAATTACGGTAGCTGTCTTGCAAACAGTTTGAACAGTCTTTCACAACTTGTTGTCTTCCAGATGAATGGAGACTACAGCTATCAGAATTGTCAGCATTTAGTAATTTGCTAGAGATTTTGTAAATTACAGTGCCAATATATCCGGAGGGTACCAGTCTGAGAAAACAAAAATTGCTTCAGGCAGGAGTGTGCAGCAAATACCTCACAGCAAAA